GTTTGGCAAAGAAAATTATTAATATAGGTCCATGTTTTGATATAGCCTCATATAACGGTACAGCCAAATGTCGTATTTCGGTGTTTTAGTCATAGTAGTAGTATTTTCCATAAACTCACATAATCCCTGGCGTTTAGGTAAGGTTAAGACTTATGATGTCTCATAGTAGAATTTTAATGGCAAGTAAATGTGTACGAAATATTGACTTGTTACTATACCGTTAAAAACAGTTTTTAACCATGTTTTCTTAGAATCGGCATCGTGGGGAAAAGGAGAAAAATTATTGAAAATTTTGTTTACATTTTGTTTACACTATGTGTTGGGGTTATTATAAGTTTGATTAGGCCAAATATTGTAACACCACGAAATATTGGTTTCCCACATAGGAAAGTATATATGGATCTTCCTATCTCGCCGAGCTGAGTCGATCTAGCTATGTATGTCCGTCCGTCTGTCCGTCTGTCCGTCTGTCCATGTTAATTTGTAATCACTCTACTGGTCGCAATTATGGCCCGATCTTCACGAAATTTAGAATGGAGGTGGGGCTAGGGTCAGAATAGAACCCTATTTCTTTTGGATATGATCGCATAATATTTAGGGGTTAAAATGGACCAAAAACTGAAAAAATTCATGATTTTACAGTTGCTCTACAGGTCGCAATTATAAACCAATCAAAGCGGAAGTTACCATGGGGCTAGAGCTTAGAGCTGGGCAGAAGCCTTCCAATTTTGATGGTCATCGGGTAATATTTAGTGGGTGAAATAGGCCGCAACATTTGTGTTAAATAAAAGTCAAATTTTCCATTAAATCGCGAATATTTTTAATCCTGGCGAAATCACAAATAGACGAACAGGTCAATTCTGACCGTTACGTAGATGCCGACAGTAAGTATATCGGTTATATATAGCAAAATATATACAATGTATATATAGAAGGAACTGGATGTTAGCTACAATGCTTATATCTCAAGAATGGCTAGACCGATTTTGACAAATTTTGTTAATTCAGAATGCCCTCTTGACATAAAAGTATAAAATCTAAAAAAAATCGCATAAAAATATGCCAATAAAGATGTTAAATAGATTTTGTAGTATTTTGTGACATTTTTTTATTTTTTCATATTTTTTATCGCATGCGTTTTTTTTCAATTTGTCTTAAAATATGGAAGTGTATATTTTGTAATATTTTTTCAACTTACAACACAGGTTGGGGTTATTATATATAGATTGCAAATATCGTCCGATCCTCACGAAAATTTTCACAAGGTTAGGGTTGGGCTCAGAAGGGCTAGGCCTATTGTTTTCAAAGACGTCCGCAATATATTAGGAGGTTGAAATGGACCAAAAACTAAAAATGTTCCTGATTTTGCAGCCATTATAAAGGTCACAAATAGAAACCAAAGGACACGAAATCTCGCATAAAGTTAGAGTTTAGGACAGCGAGTAGAATGGAAATAGAATGAAATACACAAAAGGCGAACTTCTGGCTTTTTATGCTGATTTCGTTGACAAATGTAGCAAAATATCGTAGACAAGCAAAACATATAGATGAGTCTAAATTTAGAGATACAGAGGGGCCTCTTGCTTTTGGAGATGATCGCAAAATATTTAGTGGTTCAAATGAACCAAAAACAGAAAAAAAATCCTTATCACACATATGAAGCCAATAAACACGCCTGAGAAGAGAGTTAAGGACAGGGAATGATTCTAGTATTTTGGATGGAAAATGGACCACAACAACTAACAGTATGACGGAGTGGTTAAATATTGGGCAAATGTCCCTGGTCAATGCCTTTTGACATAATTTCAAAAGCGAAATCTTCCAAAATCGATCTGGATATAAGGCGGCTTCTAACATATTGTAGTGTTGTAGGGTATCGCATGGTCGGCCCCGCACGACTTTAGCCTTTGCTTACTTGTTTTTTTATAAATTAGTTTAAATATTTAGTATTAATTAAAATTCATAGCTATTTGGTTTGTTATTGACTCTACCCTTGCCTTTCTTATTTGCATTCGCATACGACTATAAGCTCAAGGATATGCACAATATGGATGTGTTTTTGCTAAAACACCACAAAGATGTGGGATTGTTAATTTACATACTATTTTTTTTTTACCTTGATTCCAGACTCTCGAAATAAAACCTTTAGTATAAATAACAACTATCACAGTCTTCAGAAGACATTACATAAAATCGTTTTGAACCTCGAAGACCTCAAACAGTCTAAACTATTTTCGAAATCATGAAAGTCTTTATTTTAATTGTATTCTTCGCTCTCGTCCATGAGATAAATTGTTTAAACATACGTGCATGTGGTTCGGGATTAACAGAGATTTTGAATGCGGTCTGTGTTGATGGCTTTAATGGAATGAATCTTACCAAAAAGTCGATTAGAAAGCGATGTAAGTTACTTACTGCCTAAATAACAACTAATTAGATTAATTAATGAATTAATTGATTTATTTGACTTCCATTTTCAAATTCCACTTTTTGATATTATAGATATTTTCGGAGAAGACGATTCGAACTCTTTGCTAAGAGATATATTGTATGGCGAGCATATAAACGATTTGGGTAAAATTCGTAAACAACGACACCGAGTGGGCATTTATGATGAATGCTGCCTAAAATCTTGTCAGACAGAAGAAATGATGAGCTATTGCTTGTAGAGCTTATTGGCGTACTAAGGTGTTTCATAATATTCCCATAGACTCGTATATTGGAAAGAATTTTTTATTTAAGAAAAAACATATTGTGTTTATGTATTTTATACAATTATAAAAAATCATAAATAAATATATGTTATCAATTTATGGAAGCTATACCTACCTAGAAAGCCACCTACTGACTCATTAGTATAAGGACATATCACAAGAAATGAGAAGTTTTTCTTCGGTCACTCAAATTATCCAAATACGTAGAATAAACAATTTGTTAAATAATACAGTTTGTGTATTATCCATTACTGGTATTTAACTACCTTTCCTCCGATATGAGTATAGAAGGTTGTTCAAAGTCTAGAATCTGCAGCGACAACTTAAATTATGCTTTTCTTCATTTGGCTGCAAGTCCCCCATCTGTTGGGTTGTTTATTTCCATTACCATGTAATGTGTTATTCTGCATAATTGATTTCAAAAATTGTGCTGTGCATCATCATCATGTGATAGTTCAAAATATGATATAAATCTCTTTTTGCCAAATCCTTAACAGAAGATTCGCAATGGATATCTCTGCTTCCGTCTGTGTGGTTGGGCGCACAATAAATCACGAAGGGAGTATCCAATTACATCCAAGTAAAGGTACCACTCTTTGTATTTTTTTCGGGTTTGGTGTGGCAAATCCAACCACTTCTTCTGTTAGCTCCTCCACATAGGGAAGGTGCAATCTTTATGACATAACAAAAATGGTTATACATAAATAAATGGTTGAAGCTTCCTAATATCGTTTTTTGCTTTTTTACGGTTTTAGAGTCGACATGGTATAATCCTTGTAAGAATATATCATTATTGGTCAACCCACTGGTAATGCTAAACTATGTTTGTTTATATTACATTGTAATGAGTTATTTTCCCCTGTGGGTAATTTCTAACAAGCATTTTGTAACAACACGCCATTGCTTAATGCAATATGAAACAAGTAAAAAAGCAGCTATGCTCTCCACCATTGGAAGGAACTTGAAATTTTTCAAATAAAATTCCGAAAACTACCACTTAAATAAAAACCTTTACATGGGGAATATACGAAAACGTCAACCTTCATACGAAATCCATTACGAACTTTAAATATCAAATTTGAAACAATTCTGGTGAATAATGAAGCTAAAATCATCAAAATACCGAATATAGGCAGGTACTGATATATGGGGGCTATACCAAAAACGTGAACCTGCACAGACAATTTTCTGTCATAGACTGAAGTATCCTTTAAAAATATTGGGAATAGCTACAAATTGTACAATAAGTTTAGATTTGTTCGAATTGGTCTAATGAAGGCGCCACAGGCTGTCCGAATGTTGCTGTGAGGTGATCGACACTTTGGTATTTTTTTGTCCCAACCTTGCTTTCCAAAATACTTCAGACATAATAGATCAAAGGATTGGTATCCGGTGATTTTGCTGGCCATTGGGCGCTGGGAATGAAGCGAGGAACCTTATATAAGGAAATCACGTTTGAAATCCATCACGAATAACGCTTGAAATCAATCACGCTTGAAATCCATCACGAATAACTTTTTTCTGGAAAATTCTCACCAAAATGCTTTTGTACGCTTGTAAACAATATAATGAGCTGTCACTGGAATAATTTTAACAGCTGTCGCGGAGAATGGCTTAGAAATGACAGCAGTCTGAATTTGGTTCCAGTTTTTTCATCTCATCCTGTATACCCATATAACTGTACATCACAATATTCGTCACACTTTTTGTTTAAAATTTGATATTTGAAGATAGACAGAAAATTGCCCAAGCAGGTCCATGCTCTTGTATGGCCACATATAACGGTTCTTCCCGATATTCGGTATTTGACAATTTCATATTAGATAATATTTGTATGATTTATGCCACACTTTTCACTGAAATTGTTTAAAATTTAGTATTTGGAGTTCGTAATGGGAGGTACCCATTACGACAGAAAATTACCTATTTAGGCCCACATTTTCGTATATTAGTAGTATAGTAGTACCTTCCCATATTCGTTTTTTAACCGATTTTAGAAACATTTTTCAACAGAATTATCTCCAAATTTGTATTTGGAATTTACAATATTCACCTCCTTCCCTGCCAGACAGGTCTACGTATAGTCCATGCCATCCATTATTCGAAATTTTAATTATTTCAGAGGCCATTCCAGAATTTTGGAAATTTTGCAAATTCCTTCCGAATGGTGGAGGGCATTAAAAGTTCGGCTCGGCTGAACCTGTTTTTTAAACTCTATATTATTTAAACTTTGCAATTTCTTGAAAAAATATTAATTAAAATTTGATTATTTTTATTTTCTTGCAGAAACTTCACACAATGAATAATAGAAAAACATTCGCTACAGATTAAGGTAAGAACAGATTAAAAGGTTCTTCTTGTGGATTATTTTAATTTGGCCTTTTAGTTTTATTTTTTACATTATGTCGAGAATATGATGTCATGTAAATGGCCCAGACACACTTTATTGTCATTTGAACCCTTCTTGTGCCATTTTCCATCACTTAAGCCAAAACTTCCGGCGATAGGTCCTCACATTCTTGACGGATATTGTCTTTAAGAGAAGTCTGGAGCGGTCAAATCAGGCGATCTTGCTGGCCAGTGTAAATCGCCAAAATGGGAGATTAGCCCGGGAAATGCATGCTTCAGCATATCGAATGTGGCACGTGTAGTGTGTGCCGTTGCACCGTCCTGTTGTATCCACATGCACATCTAATCCCAACTCATTAAGTTGCGGCAAAAATAAGTGATTGATAATTGCTTTGTAGCGCTAACTATTCATAGGAACCATATGACCCACGACGTTTTCGAAGGAAAAAAAGTTCGATAACTACTCTACCGAAAACATTACACCATACACTGACTTTGAGGGGGTGTAATGGCTCTTCGTGGGTCACACGCGGATTTTCAGTACCCCAGAAGCATAAATTTTGCTTATTTACGTAAACGCTAAATTGAAAATGGGCCTTATCACTCATGGTTATTTTTCATGAAAAATCATCATCATCTTCATCGATGATTTTTTCGAAGATAAACGGTAGGAGCATTTCGTTGTCCATATCTTCATTTGCGTATGGCTACAGCACCAATATTCTCTGCAGAAGGAGTATGCCAGGCCGAGCAGCATCATTTTTTGTCTCTTTGGGACGAGCGGCTAAACGACGCAGTGTAGGCGTTGGACTGCCAGGAAATCTGCGGCGAAATTCACTTTGTGCCAAAGTCACCCACCGATTATTGGTCAAATAAATATTCCCCAATATTCCACGTTCTGGAGCAATGTAGCGTAACATTGTTTATTTACGTGTATTTTGCATGTGTTTACCACAAAAATTTCAAAACATAACTCACATTAAGGGCCAATCGTAAAATTTATAGCATTTTCTGATAGGATTACTTTTGCGCCACGATGTTGTACCATTTTGTGTTGACTATATATAGCGACATCTATTGATATAGGGCAAATGGAGGTAGTCGCTACAGTTTCATTTTGGGATTATTACTCGAATATTAAGAAATATGGGACTACATGTCTTCGACTAAGTTTTACCCTTTTTGATCCCGACATTAGACCACTTACATATGGACCCATCTTTTGATATTTTTGTAAGAAATACATAGAAATTAAAAGGGACTAAATAATAACGACGTTTCACAAACTGAGCATTTCTGATGCCCTAATAGCAAAAATTGCGTTCTACCTAAATATTTGTGCCAATTCGAAATACAAACCAAATATTAAAATTGACATAAACCCTATTACATGGAGAAAACTATACAATTTCCCATATTTAATATTACTCCTATGTTTTCCTATCATTATAAAGCCATTAACATACATATTTTGTTTTGCATGTTTTTTTTTCTTCTGGCACAGCAATTTGACGTCATTATTATTCAAAATGATCCTAAGTGCTATCCTGGTGTGACAATGTTTGATTATCTAAATGTCATTTGCAACGATTTTCTATTTTGAACATTTATAAATCGACCCGAATATAACCTCTAACCCTCTTTACCGACCTGCATTCACACACACATAAAACCTATGGTATTCATATACGCACACATACACACATTCCCAAGAGGCATTTAAGGCACCCATCTAGACTAAAATGTGTGTCAATACTGTTGTTAGATAAACGTCAGTATTGTTTGTAAATGTTCTACATGTTTAGATTTTCATCGAACACGCACCCAACACAAACACATGTTTGGTATGTGTATTTGTTATACATAGATATGTATATTTGTATAAACATAGAACTTTTGAACTCATCGTCAACATCAGCCTCATCAATGTTTTGGCATATTTGACCAGTGTCTCTACATCGGCCAGGCTAGAGCTCTAAGCTTTTGACAAACCATTATGCAAAACATCATAAAGAGCTATACATGGGACAGATGCAAACAGATACGGATAGAGAAAGCCAAATAGACAGACATAGCCACATACGTACGTATATGTAAATGTCGAAAAGATGTGAAAGCTTTGTCACCTAAGGCTGATGTCATGGACATGCATGTATAATTTCTCCTTTATACACGCTGGAAAAAGATTATTCAACTAGTCGCTGTTGCTGTCTCCGTACTTTTGCAACCATGTTTAAATACGAATTAGACGACTATTAGATATTAGACGACTATAAGGCCGGTAGTCTGTTAGACGACCTTCACGTCGTCTATAAATATTACCTCCGTGTCTTTAAAGATGACCTCCGTGTCGTCTATAAGGACGAACTCCGTATCGTCTATAAGGACGACCTGCGTATCGTATATAAAAACGACCTCCGTGTCGCCTATAAAGACAACCTCACGGTCGTCTATAAAGACAACTTCACGGTCGTCTATAAAGACAACCTCACCGTCGTCTATTAAGATGACTTCCATGTCGTCCAAGTTTCGTCTATAAAAACGAACTTCGTGTCGTCAATAAGGAAAACCCCCGCGTTGTCCAAAAATATGACCTCCGTGTCGTTTATTAAAAATTTCAGTTGTTTTTTGGACCAAATTGACCGTCTTCTATTAGACGACTTTCTCAAATTTCAAAGTCGACCTACGTTTGACGTTTTTTTTCTCAGTGTTTTCCAAAGCAAACATTCAAAACACCGAATTGAAAGATGCCACTATGACATGTCACAGTAGTATTACGTCGTACATTTGTGACGCCTCTTTTCTGTGTGTCTATATGTTGTCCTATGTGCGATTGTATGTTTTTATGACAGCTTTAGGTCTTTTGCCTGGTAGTATGTATACGTCATGCTGGTACGGAAGCCCAACACAAAAGTCCTGTTTGACTATACAACAACAGACATCAACAATGAAAATGAAACGTTTTAATGTATATTTGGGGAAATACCAATGACAGACAACAACTACGACTACAGTGGCTGGCTGGTTGGTTGTCGGTTCGAAGGACCTGTATGGCGACATAAACATGAATGAGTGAAGGAAACATGTTGGCAGGTACAATATAACACCGACACCACATTGATGTAGGTCCTGTAATGAAAATATTGAAATAAGAATTGTTGGAGAACCAGAACAAAAAATTGAGAATAGGAACATAATTTTATTATGTTTACCATTTACTTTAAACGTATAAATTTATATGAAGAATGGGGATCAAGATAACAACATTTTTGGAACATAAAAATAAATTATCGATACTTCCGCGTAGTTGGAACTATAGAGTCTGTACCAAAATATTTTAGTATCATCCTTTCAAAATTAAATGTTAGGTTAAATTTTCAAAATCTTTGCTTTGCCTTTAATATCATATATGAAGAATGGGGATCAGGACAACCAAATTTTTGGAACATAAAAATAAATTATCGATCTTGGATCTTTGGGAACTTTACCAAAATATTTTAGCATTACTTATCAAAATTAAATGTTAACTTGAATTTTCAAAATCCTTGTCTTGGACAGCAGTGAAAGACTAACCTACATGACCAATATTTACACATTCAACAAGAAAAACGCTTGCATTACCCAAATGGTATAAAATTCAAAAGCCATATGACTGGCTAACTTTCTATCATAATCTTACAATCTTACATACATGCATATATTCATTATAGTCTACCTAATTCAACAAAGACCGGTAGCTGAACAAAGCAAGGCAAAAAAGAGATGAAAAACGTAAAACCATAAAACGGAAGCCATCAATGAACAAATAATCCTTGTATGTCACAGACAGAAAGACAAACTTTGGCTAAGCTAACAGCCTCTTGAGAGTCCAAACACACACACACACACACACACACAAATAAACTGGTCTAAAGGCATGCCACATAAAACGGATGTCTGCTACAAAAGCTCGGCAAATAGGTAGACAAAGAGCCAGAAAAGGTGTTGTAACATTATGACATAACAAGCGCATTCATGTAAGTGTGAGTATGTGTGTGTGAGTATATATGTCGTTAGGATAACCCATTATGGCCGCCGAATAAAAGCCCATCATAAAGAACAAATTTTCGTAATGTGTTGTTGTTTGAACGTGATATCTTTCTAATTTTGTTCTTTGTTTACCTTTCGATGCTGACGTAATGGAAATGACCGCAGAAGCACATGAGATCCGGGAGAAGAAGAAAAGAGACTCAAAGATCCTAATTTTGGAAATATAAAATGTTCTTAGCAGCCATACAATTAGGGGAGATTTTTTGAAGAAGAATAGAAAAAAAGGAAAATCTGGTTTAGAATTTGTTGAGCTTTTCTTCTTTATGAATATACTTTCAAGCTTATATTTCAATAGCACACTCTTAAATTTGTCAATCTGAAACAGCTAAATAGGTTCCAACAATTAACCTGTCTTATAAATTACCAGCTACTTCGTTAAAGTTAAGTCATCAATGAAATAGAAAACTTCTACTTGATTCATCAAAATATAGATCCTAGAGCCACCTGTACAAATCTGTAACTTTGAGGTATACCGTATTCCTGTTTTCGAAATTGGAATATAAGCAAGGACACGTACAACAAAAATCAGAACTCTGGATCTTGCCAATAACATTGGTAAACCGTTTGGCACCTTTTGGTTCTTTATGCCCTTTTTTCTTCGAGTTTCCCAAAAACGGCTTCTTTTCGAACAACCTTTCGCACCAAAAGCGACTCTAGCTCCTAATTCCAGATCACCTAACTTTTTTTGTGGAAGACCTCTCACTTCCAAATACTTTCTACAATTTGCTTTACAAACTTAACATAAATTAAAATAAATCGTAATCCGTACTTATCATCAACATTATCAGCCTTCTAGTCCTCACATTGTTGAGGCTTCACTCTACAAAAGGGACATTTTTATGAAGTGTTATAAACCATCTCATTTTATGAGCTTGTCACCTGCTCACCCCTTCT